GCAAGCGGTCAGCGGCCCCCAGCGCCAGCGGCCCCGGTCCGCGTGTCCCGGCGCTCGCCCGCACTGCTCGGGGGCGGGGGTCGAGCCGCACCTTGTCGACCGCCTCTCCGATGGTGGTGGTCTGCGCCGCCACGCCGTCCATCTGGTTGCAGGCGGAGAACAGCACCACCGTCTGGCCGCGCACGTCAGCGAACTTAGGGTGCTGTTTGTCGGCCGGGTCGCAGAAGTGCTCGATCTCGGCCATCGTGAACTCCCTACGGCCAGGGGGTCGCGGTCAGCCACCGCGGTGCGGCGCGACCGCCTTCACCACTCTGCACTCCACCCACACAAAGCATTCGCCATTCGCCATTCGCCATTTGAAAGCCATTCGCTATTTGCACAATGCAAACCGTCTCCTTATCCCACAGCTCGGAATCGCAAACCGTCTCCTTATCCCACAGCTCGGAATCGCAAAACTCTGGCGCGGACTCTCGGCACTGGCATCGGAGATCGCGCACACACCAGCACCACTGCACCATGCTGGAGCCCGCCCGCAGCCCGGCCAGCAGCTGCCCTCGGCGCGGGGGTCCGCCCTCGCTGAGGTCGGGGGGGGGGGGGGGGGGGGTCAGCGCACCTGACGCGAATCAGTCCGCTGCGGGGTGAGATCTCGTTGCGGAAGGCGTTGCCGATCTGGGCGGCGGCGAACGGCAGGCGGCCCTGGTTGAACTCGAGCAGCCGCTTGAAGTTGACGAACATGCCCTGCGCCGTCTCCGGCCGCAGGAACCTGTCGGCCGGCCGGCGCCCAGTCAGCGGCGGCTCTCGGAGTGGCGCCGGCCGAGACACAGGCCGCACGGCCGATGCCTGACGGGAGCCAGCGGGAGAGGGGGGGGGGGGGGGCGGGGGAGGACGGAGCAGTGCCGCGGGCGGCGCCCCTACCCCGCCCACTGGTCACGAGGCGCGGTGCTGAGCACGGACGGGTCACGGGGCCGAGATCACCGGCCGGTGCCTGTATCGAGTTACGTCTGTGTAAGCGCCGGCCACCGCGTCGGACAAGGACGGGCATACCAAACACGATTTTGAGCCAGCACTTGTACGGCTGGCGAGCAGTTCGACAGCATGGCACAGAACGCACGTCCGGATTTTGAGCTAGCACTACAACTGGCGATCAGTTCGGCAGCATGGCACAGAGCGCACGTCCGGATTTTGAGCTAGCACTACAACTGGCGATCAGTTCGGCAGCATGGCACAGAGCGCACGTCCGGGTTTGGCAACAGGCCCAAAGGCGTTATTCCGGAGCACGCACGTCGACGTACCCCTTTAGAAGGCCAGTGGGACCAATGGAGGTGCTGAACATCAGGTTGAATTCCATGGCGTCCGAGAGCTCGTTGCCAGTGATAGGAGACTTCATGTCGTATTTCCTCATCACAGCGTTCATGTCATCTTTGCCCATGCCGTCCAGCTGGGAATGGAAATATGAGTCAATGACGCGTGCCCATAACATAACGTGGAGGATACTGGCTTGTGCTCAGTGATGAAAATACACTTTGCATGGGACATGGGGACAAGATATAGTAATGATGTTCATTTTTTTGGGGGGGGAGGTAGAGAAAATGAGTGTCTGCCACCTACCCCAGAGATATACCACTTTGCGACAGACTCTACATCCAGGCAAACATGTGGGGATTCGATGATGGCGTTCAGGCTACCTACTTTTCTCTGCCACCATACAACGCCGGCCTCTGGGCATCCGTTCGCAGGGAGCGAAGCGACACGCGGATATTAAACATGGGCGAACAGCAGCTAGAGGCGCCCCATACCCGGGCCACGGTGGTCAGACATTTCTGCTTGTCCTCCTCTGGGGTCTTCTTGTCGGCGGCCAGCTTCTCCAGCTGCGCCTTGATCAGGTGGTCGAGGCGGAAACACTCGCCGTTCTTCAGATCTTTCACCATGAAGTCGGCGAACCTCTCCACATGCCCCGAGGCCCTGAAAGAGCCGTAGGTGCTGACCACGGCGACACCACCGAGGCACGCGGCGGCATAGGTGACAGCCTGCTGATCGCCACTTTCGTCACACTATTCTGCAGCTGAACTGGACATTACAATCCGATGGTGGAGTCAGAACTCACAACAAGCTTTGCTTAGGGCAAGCTTTGATCCCAAAAAAACATGCCATCAATAAGGCAGAGCTTAACTGATCAAAAGGTACCAAATATGACAAAGAAAATACCATGCTCTGTTTCCTCTGGCCAGATATGGTATCACCTCCAATGAATCAGCAACTGGTAGCTGCCATTTTCCAGTCATCTGGTGGCTGTTGGTGTTGCCTTTCCTGCTAACGTCACACTTTATAGCCATGGCGCAGCATTAACATATTAAATGAAGGCCTATTAATTGAAATCAAACCAAGAAATCCTTGTGACATACTTTTGGACCAATATCACCCAGAATTGGCCGCACCCACCTCAATTCCAAACCCTCATACAAATGTTGGACATACCCTTTCCAGAAACATGCAACACACAGACTAAATATTCATTGCACCAAATGCTGTCAAGTTACAAATGCAACAACTGGTAAAGTGAAAAATTATCCCAGTGTGGCAAGCCTTTGGTAAGCTACACAGCTGAACATATCAGGATATGCTTGATAGCTCTGGCAAATATACTTACTTCAAAACCTGCTCAGGGGTGAGAACAGTGCAATCCACCTCCAGCATCTGCTCCTCAAGCACAAAGAAGTTTCGCCATTCAGATATGATGTTGGATTTCAAAGCACAGCCCATTGGTCCAAAGTCATACTGACCAGTCACTCCTGAAAACAAATCATGAGATGTCATGATCACACCCACTTGGCCTGACAGCTAAAAATGAGATAAAAATGGGAGAACTTGAAATGTGTCAAAATGGAATTGGAGAAAAACTGTTACATTGATTACAAATAATTTTGTCTTAAGACCCTACCTCCATAAATGGCAAATGACTGGTCATAGAAAAATCTTCTTTTGAGAAGATCTTCCATTTTGGTCCTGTCAAATGCTGATTGAGATGGGGCAAGGGATAGCTCTTTGTCTTCAAGAACCTTTTTTCGAGCCTTCAGTTCATTGACTGCTTTCTTTACATCAATCTCTGATGCTCCCTTTGCTTTCAGCTTTCGGACAAGATCTCCCTGAAAAACAGAAACACAGACATAACCATTTTGGCACCAGAATGAAACAGACATAAAGACATAATCATTTTAGCACCAGAATGATACAGAAATACAGACATAATCATTTTGGCAGCAGAATGATTGTCACCACATACAAAGATCAACAAAAACCTTTTATTGTGGCAGAGGAGTGCACTGATGATAACTGAAACTAAGCACTTTTTTGGTTAAATATGAAAATAACACTACCGCTATTTATCACCTCATCTACTGTTCACTATCCCTGATGTCCAACCATTAATCCACCTAATCCCTGTATAAACTATCATTAGCCATTAGTGTGTAGAACAATATTAAATCTAACAATTCTAATTTTGTCTCTAGTTGGACTTTAATACATGAGCAATATCACATTAGTGTGTAAAATATAGTCACCACCCAAGTATTGAAGCTATTTCACTTTAAAGGGATGTGGAGGGACAATCCTGGTGTTTTATAAGCATATTTCATGCTATTTAGCTTTAAGTAAGTGTTATCTAGAGACCATATCATTTGAAAAGCAGAGAATTTCATCCATCTAGGTGTCCATCAAGTAAAAAAATCATGCTTCCAGAATCCTGGCTCTCTGGTGGCCTCAGCATACAACTAGTTAGTGCTAATCAGTTATTCTTTGAGACTGAACCCAGACATGTGAGCGCCAGCCCGTTTACCAAGCTAGAGATGCTCAAATGAGCCAAAATCACCCAGTTCAATACTATTTGACCAATTTTGAGCAATGGGAGGGGTAGCAAGTAGGGTTATTAGTGCCTGGAGCAGAACAGCATGACAACCATCAATATCCCTGACACCCAAGTGGCCCAATGTTGATGCACTTATCCCAAGCAACTTACCAGCATTCAAACCACAGTTTCCCAAAAAGTTCACGACTTCTTCTTAGCAAGCAATGCTTCTACAGCTGTCACTAAAACTTAACAAAAACTCTTAACTCTATCATAAGCCATGGCAGCGAAGCATGCAACAGTTCACCTCACAAACACACCAAAAGCAAATATACTGAGTGCTTCAAGCTGTTCAACGCAATATGCCTCACCTGTTCTTTCACAGAGAGCCGCAAGGGGGCTAGGAGCTCTTCACTTTTAGCATCCATAATGTATGGTATTTGCTTCTTGACTTTAGTCTTCCTTGAAGCCTGTTTGCTGCCCCAGCCTGGTGACAGTGGGAAGTTGAGCACTGGTGATACAGAAATTAGCCTGCTCCAGTTTGGTCTCAGTTGCCAGGCACACAGTAGTGTCTTCTGATGAAGTAATCTGATTTCACTTAAGGCTGAAATGGCAGGCATGCGTAGGCATTCAGATCCAATCGACTTTCACGTCCAGATGGTGCAGCACATGCAGCAGACAGCTGCTTTTACCACATGTAGGTACTTCCCTTAAGCACTGCGCAGCGACCCTCTGGAACAGCTGACTGTAGGGAAAAACAGAGTGTAATGCCCTGCGAACACAATTAATTAGCCTGAAGCGTATTACTCGGCGTCCCTACCACACCTACGCGTCGTCCACCGCGTGAATGAGTAATAACACCAGCGTATGACACCAGACCCGAAGATCACGACACACACCGGCAGGCGAGAAGGCACGGCCGTCTGCATCAGCCCGCCGCACGGCGGAACAGCTGCGTGTGCATTTCTTAGTTTCAGTATGGCGTCATAAGGCATAGGATTTCATAAATATCCCGGTGTCAGTCAGTATATGTCACGAAAATGACGTCATAGAAAATGAATACTTCATATATTTACGCTTCCCAGGTCTATTCATGATATGGCGCTCTAGTTACATTTATGGTCGCCATCTGCTGGAGATTTTCTTCTTTGCAACGGGGCCTACCACTTCTCGATTTGCTCCATCCGTCCTTTTCACACTCGGTTTGGATATTGGGGTTGGAATCTGCTCAAAAACAGCAAAAAAAGTGTGAAACCATGACGTACTGGAGGCAAGCCGGACTTAAGTAAGTATGCACTTCACATTACTGCCGCTCGCAACTTGCATGCGCAGACATCAGTTTTGGAATGGTTTCCATCGTGATTCTGAGAAGCATCCTAAGGGATTGGGGACGTCGATACCTTGCGACACACACAGGTAGTGTTAGTGGAGGTTTTTATGAGGCATTACAGGTAGCGTGATAAGAGGAAAGGGGGAATGTGAATCATGCGGAAAGTGCACATGTTTGGACTGTATAACAGCTCACTCAGGTTTGGTTGCATGCCATGCAAGTTCTCTGATCTGTTATTATACATTTTTCAACTGTGTCGAGGCTTGTAGTTGTCATAAGCTTCCTCTTTTGACAGGTAACTTTCCTGTCTTTGCTTAATCTACTAGTTCAGTTACGGATCAAGTCCTACTTATGGTGATCTAATCCCTAAAGCACAATGCCTGATCAAGGGGGGGACAGTTTTTGTCAGTTCTGATCAGGTGGAGAGAAATCACCCACTTATTTACCTAAAAATTGCCTTAAAAATTACCTCAGAATTTGTACCATTATTTACAGAGGGTCCCCTAGAATTTATCTTGCCCAAGCCCTCAATTCATTGAGCACACAGGTTGTCAACCATTGGAACACCCTTCCACACCTGGTTGTGTCATCAACCTCAGCTAAACAGCTCAATTATAGGCTTAATATGCACTGTGCTGAGATCATCTATGACATCCCATGCTGAATCAACCCAATCAATTTGGGACTGCTTGGTTACTGGACCAGGAGCTTGATGAGACAGGGACTGACAGGCCTAGTGGCCTTTTATAATTCCTGATCACCATAAGGGAAGTTTGTCATGGGGGCTTTATGCCGCAATCAGCTGCTGAGGCTATATGGCATTGCCTGCCTCCCACCCTAGCAGGAAGGGAGGGCACTGTGGGGAATCCAACCCAGTGCCTCTGGTTTCCCAGATGCCATAAGGTAAACTAGGTAAAGTATTATAAATGGGATTTAAAGTCTTGGGGACTAACAATGCAAACACTAAACTTGTGGCATGTAGTGAGAACAAATATCTGTTGAATTTGCACTATGTATGCAGCTGGCATTACTGGACAATTATTCAGTAATAGTTGATAGTAAATATAATGCAGCAGCCTTTTTCAGTGGTTACCAAAGCATATGAAGTAATCAATGTGTAATTGTGAATTTTCTAGTTCAGTGGAAATTCAAAAAGTGCAATAAAAAGATGTGTGATGCAGAATACTTTGAAATGTCTTGGTTATGGAGACTGATTCATGGCACATGGACACAACAGCTTCCCTCAAATCTGTAACGTCCCTTTGGTTTGATGCTTAAAGTTGACCACGTGACCTTTGATAGCAGTAATATCATGTTGTGTGACTCACTCTAGTAGACAGTGAAATCAATTAATCACACATCAAAAGCAATTCAAAATGAGGAGGACAGCTGCAAGTTACTGCAGTTACAGGCAAAAATCACTGTGCAAGCCTCCAATGGTGACAGCATAACTCAGTAAACTGGCATACTGCCACAAATTGCCATGGCTCAAAATATGGAAATTGATGACTATCAGGTACTGATATGTATTATATATTGTAGAACATTTGCAACATCAGCGCGAGCGTGCAGTAAAAGCTTGTCGGCCCACTACACGTACACATGTTTACAATCTACATGGTTTGATACAGTTGGTCAAGGTGTTTGGCCTGCAGCGACTCACAATTTGCCATTAAGTTTGTCGGATGTCTTCCATGAGAAGAGGGGTCGGAAACCAGGAAGTATCTAGTTCACTTGGGCCAATAATCTCCCAAATAATGCGGACTAGTAGCATGTGGTAAAATCCTACCATATGTGAATAATTGTAACCACACTCAATGCACTGCATTTGTAAGAATCTAGATCGAACCTCAGAGCCTTAAACTGTTGTGCTGCCTGACGGCGGCATGCACGTCGCTCTGTCCCCGTCTACTTCTGGATACGGTTTAATAGCCTTGCTTGAGGAACAAAGCTGATCCTGGAGCAAGCTCCGTGCTGGCACGGTCGTGATCAATACTGATCAAGTGTCGGAAAAGAGTATAAATTGCATGGCGCCAGGTGGATCCGAAAAAACCGCCTACGCGTATTGCTGTTGCCGCACTTATGAAAGAGCGCACCTGAAATTGCGATGAAGCATGTTTCACCGTTAACGTATCGATGCATTGTTCCGTAGGCGTGCGCGAAGGCAGTGATATTGAATTATGCAGCCAGGTGCGGCGACCTGTTGTGAAAGAGAGGGAAGACGACAAATTGCGGTCGGTTACCTGCCCACTTGATGTCCATGAGCTTGTGTACTGTCGTTGCGCAAGACACTGTACCGCCTTGTTGCAGTTATTCCGGCAGTGATGAAATGATGCTGTGCTGACTGAATGAGCATGGGCTTGATGTAAATGGATCGCATGTTGCATTTCATCATCAGCAGTCCACCACTATGACAGATAAATGTATCCATATGTTCCCTTTGTTTTGCAGACCGCAGAGAAACGGCTGCAATGCACTTTCTTGGCAACTTGCGTGTATGTAGTGGCTGGATGAGCAGAAGTGATTTTGACGTCCAACGAATGCTGCGAGATTGCAGTCATTTCGTACCTCTGACAGCAGCCATGCCATCCAATTTACACGACTGGCTGCCTGCGGCTGGATTTTTGCACTGATGACGTCCATGCTGTCATGTGTTTTATTGACCTGCGATTTTGAAATTATAACGCATACGTTGTTGTAATTCGACAATTGGAAGTGAATGGTTCACGCAACTCATCCTCTGCCCTGCCTCCTGATTGCGACTGACGACGTGCTGATCTGGCTGTGTTCGCCAGCTACCTGCAGTACTCTGCCGTCGCCGCCCGCATGCTGCGGCAGGCGATCAAGCCGGACGCGAAGCGTGCGGCGGCCGACGTGCCGGGCGTCCTGCGGATAACTCACTGGAAGGACGGCAAGGCCTTAAGTGAGTACCGCCGACGACCGCTAGGGGTGCTACCTGTGGACAGGTGGCGCTGGTGCCGTCTTGGCCGGTGGGAGGTGGTTATGTCAGTAACGGTGGTATGGACGCGAACTTTTTGTTCGGCTGTGGTGATAACAATTGAATAATATGATGAACGTGGGCGGGGAAGTACCATTGTAAGGCGTTTGAAGCGACTTGTGTTATATGTTTGTACCAGTTGTTAAGGCGTTGTGGCTCAGCGGAGTGGATGACATTCGCAATCAAACACCGCCTACTGAACCATGCAATCTTGAACTCAAGACATATATAGCCGAAGTTTGATCTCAGCAGACACTGCTATTTGGAGACTAGTGCTATACTTCAATGCTGAAACTCAAATGTGGACAGTTACGGGCATTTCGACAATTTGCGGTAGAGGTTCTCATGACCTCCTACTTTGCAGCGTGTCGATCGTTGCGCGACCTTTCTGCAAAGTGATTGTATTCAGTACTGATCGTTGAGAGCGCGATACATACCTAGAGAGGTCGATACTACCTCGAGAGCTCGACACATACATACGTACACAGAGGGCTCGATGCTCGATCGCTCAGCGAATGCCGAATCCGAACAGTCCGTCCAATGTCGACAGGAATGCTCAGTTCTTAACCGGATATTTTACGATGCAGGTGAGGTCAAATCCTCCACAATTATGTCGTGAGCAGGCTGGAACATTTCTGCCATTTCTGGTCGGTTGGTAAATAGCGCATACCACGTCAAGCCTAGCCACGCCCTCTGGCTGTGGCCAGAAGTACGTCGTGGTTTTCCGTTTCTGGCTTGCTGCCAGGCACGGCCGTGGGCGATTAAAGAAATGCATGACAAAACAAACAAGTGGTCCTTGCCTCAGTCCCTCTCGTATTTACACGATCCTTGTAGGACTACCCTTTTCTTCCGCGATTAGAACATTGAGGTCCCTTGTCATCGCGGCGGTCTATTGCTTATTCATGGCAGCGAGGGGGCAAGCAGTTGGGCCACCACGAATAAGCAACACACCTTAGATATTACACTATCTCGAACGTAGTATATATAGTTTATTTTGAAGTTAGCGTTCCACATTTGTATGGGGTTTTGAACTCCAGTAGCCACTTGAATATCATTTTGTGCAGTTCGCAGTCATGCTTTTTTAAGTCTTAAAACCCTCGGGTTTCCGAGTTTGACGGCCGCAGACTTGTGCGGTCTATTTCGGGCGAACTCTGTCAATGTCATCCGGATAATCATGACGCGAAGTAAACGTCACGCGTTTGTCAGCATCTAATTGGCTATGTAGTGCCCAAGGCCAAAATAGATATGGTCATGGAGTTATTCGTTCTGGCGTAGGTCAGCACGATTTGCGGCATCGTATGTTGTCGGCTGGCCTCCGACCGTTTTGATGCGTCAAGCGCAATAAGATAGTCATCCAGTCCAATCAATCCAATCCAATAGATTAGTCAACTGGGCCATCTTACAGATGCATTAGGAAGTAAGGTGCTTACATTTGCTGGCGATATTGAATTAGTATGGCTGTCGAAAAATACTGATCAGATGAACCAAACTCAACTTGGCTTGAATAAACTAGCGAAATGGGCTTCTCTACGGCAGATGTCATTCAGTCATGCTAAATTAAAGGTGATGCATTTTGGGTAGTTTTACCAGTGAGGGTATTAGCCATCAAATGTGAGGCCGGGAGTAAGACCAGATCAAGGAAGAAAAAGACTTAGGGGTCGTAATTTCTAACGTAACGTAATCAAACGATGACCTATGAGTTTTTTTTCTAGATAGTTAAATTATGCTGTCGAGAGTATTTTGACATTTAAAAGCTTACCAGTGGTTACAAGGGAGCGTATTTTATCGTATCGGACGCTTGCATCATTGCCTTCAAATGTGATACACCCCCTTTCTGTTAAACTGGATGTGACCTGAACCACGCACCATCCTGCCGCTGTGTCCGTGCCCGCCCCAGGGGATCGTCTGCTCCTGCTCCTGGGCCTGTGACAGTCCTCGACCCCTTATGCGCGTCCCGTGATCGCGCCCTGCCCTCGCCGTTTCAGCGCCCGCTGTTCAGCCAGGTCCCGTCGGTAACGTCGGCCGCCTACTCGCCCAACAAAGCCTCGCCTAATGACATGAGCGGCCCCATGGCATGAGGCCAGCACCGCCCCGTCGCTGGGCGCTAACGAAGCAGCCTGTTTTTGAATGGCGTGCCCGTATGTGGGGTGTTTGTGCGTGTTGTGTGTGCGTGTGGTGTAGCGCCGCTGTTGTAGGTATACGACTATAAATGTCTTCTCCCGTGCCTATTAGGGCCGCCTATTATTGGTTTAGCCTGACGGATTATCGTTTCCGTGTCGGTCGGCTTGGCTTCCGTATTTGCCATTGCTGAGAATCAGTAGCCTCCTGCAGTGTGCAGTCGGGCTCGGCGTGTTAGCGCGCGCCGGGCCACCCCGTCCGGCAGCCGG